GATCTCTCTTCAAACTATTAAGTCTTAAATGAAAAGATCTGATCTAACACCAAATGTCAGTGCAGCTTCACCCAAAAGGAGGGCAAATTGGGTAAAGTATAAAAATTTAACTTCATAAAACAATTAAGCAAATAAAACAGAAGAGATGAGTTAGGAAGGTTTCACCAAAGAATGAAGACATAGAGTTTATACTGGTTTAGTCTTAACCACTTGACCTACATCTAGTCCTCAGAACGCCTCTGAGATTTCCACTATATTCCCCAAGATTAAACAGGCTCTTAGTGTCTTAATACAATAATTGAATCTCTCAATCACTGCCTCTTGCTACAAATTACAATCCTCTCAAGAGCCCATACTCTTGAGTTACTCTTAGAAATAAGTGAAGAAAGATATATTAAACTCTCTCACAGAGTGTTTGAATGATAAACACTAAAGTTCGGTAAAACAGAGTATTGAATGCAACAGTAAATTTTTAACAGATAGTGGCTCGCGTATTCAATACTTCATTCAATACCCTTTGTGCCTTTTATAGTTGAAGTATTTCAATTATCTATTAGACTGAAGTGCTTTTAGCCGTTGGAAGATCGCTTGCGTGTATTTGACAGTTACAACGATAGTTTTCCATTAATGCTCCTAACACAGTAGGTTAAAAGCTATAAAATAACTGTTATGCTTTGTAATCTGTAGAAGTTTCTTGGTACAAGTAAGTTTCCTTCTTCCATAAAATAGGAATGAGTAATATAGAAGGTGATGAATCTGACATTGATGCAACAATTGAAAAACAAGGAATCAATCACCAGATACTTAGAAAATAAACTGAACTCACTTGATCGGTGTCTTGATCGATAATCCTTTGAATGATCAAGTTATCAATTAATTATAGGAAGAAAAGATATAGCAGATATATGCATTTATCAAATAGATTATGGATCATATGATGATCAAACAAATGATCGATAAACGATAAAATATGAACACAGTAATCTGCGCAGGTGAAGTATGCATGGTTGATCTCTTTTAGGTTTTGTTTGCCTTCACATCTTTTCAAAAGAGAATTATGTGATAGAGGAAGGCTAAGAAAAGTTTGAAGATAAAAAGAAAATAGGTTTTGAAGATCCTCCTGAAGAATTGTTTGAGAAATGAACTAATGCATTGATCAAACAAATGATCAAAAAAATATTTGATCGATCTTATCATCAATTAAGCTAAGCATGGGTGAAATCCATTTTCAAAATATGATGATCGAACATTTCTTTGATAGAGGGTTGATCAAACAAGTGATCAAAAATTGGTTTCAAAGAAAACTTTCATAGTGAAATGCACAGAATAGATGATGATCGATTAAATGATCGATTAATGATTAATCGATAAGTGATTGTTAAAAGTTGTTTCTAGAAAAGTCAGAGAAGGACTTTGATCGATCATGTGATATGAAAAGAAGATGTAGAGACCATGATGATTGATCATATTATCGATAAAAGGATGATCGATCAATTGTTTGATCATGGACAGTGAAAATCCTGATTTTGCAAAATAACACAGAACATATTTTTTATTAACTAGAAAATGTTTTAACACATAATGTTTGAATAGGTTATCAATGAAACAATGATCGATAAAGCGAAGGATAATAAGAGAACTATCTAATACAGTAGAGAAGACAAGAAAGCTTTACCAGTTAACTGAGTCTTCATCGATTACTTCTTGATTGATCAGGTGATCGATAAAAGTGTTGGAAATTGTGCCCTAGGGGCCAATCATTATGTTTTGAACATTGTTCATTTATGAATTTATTAATTACGTTATCATATTATTTGCATGTTTACTGTGATAACTATCCTTGGATAACTCATGGTTTATCCTAAATGTCCCTGGTCGGTCATCTGTGTGGGAGCAAAGATGAAACAAGACCAGTATGACTTTAAACATATATAGAGATATAAATTAAAGTCATAGGCACATATAAGAGTACAAGGTGTTGGACCGACCCGCTATGAGAGAGCTGCATGGGTTAAGTCATAAGCTTCTCTCATATACAAACCATGTCACTGTGCCCTTTGACCTGAGATCATCATGGATTCCTACATGAGAAACGCTTAGCTTTGACCTAGTCAAAAGTCACTTTTGATCGAGTGATCATAAAGACTATGTTCAGGCTTAGTGGTTTTTCATGCGGAGGAATGTGAATGGTCAAGATGGAATTTGTCCCTCACATTCGTAGAGAGACATTACTGGGCCCCTCGATGAGTGAGTCTGAGAAATGTATGGCCATACTATAATGGAAAGGTAGTTCCATTTCTATACTCAGACTACTCAGGGATCGAGAAAGTAACGGTCATGAATAGGAGGATGACGTTCTCCATGCCTCGTCCATGACCAAAATGTCATGTGACAAAAGGGACGCGATATGGTTGTTGAAAGGTTGCATCGTTCAATGATCCTCATATGTTTTGGGTAGTCGTGATGTCTTGCTAGAGACCGCTTATGACTTGTGAGTCATTATAGTTAATGGCCCACTGCCAACTTCATATGGGCCTACAGGGTCGCACACAAAATAGCCCAACACGAGTTATGATGTCCAGATTCATTGAATCTAGGATATGTCCAGATTCAATGAATAAATAGGGTGGACATGTATATATATATATATATTCGTATATATATATTATATATAAATATAAGAGATATTAATTGTTAGATTTAATTTATAAGGATAAATTAGATCTATGTAAATTAATTCCGTCATATCTTTATTTTGAATTAGATAAATAGGTGAATTAAATCTGTGAGACGGATTTAATATAAACCGTATTTATTTAATTGTTCTCTTATCTAATTATGCAATATTTGATATTGTATTAATTTCGGAATTAATTTGGGATTAATTTCGAAATTAAAATATCACTCATAATACCTATAGCATCCTATATATTCGATATTAGGGAGCTAGGGTTTGAAGAGTGAGAGTGAAAGCACTAAGGAGATAAGGGACGGCTAAAAGTGAGGAGAGAGGACGGATTTTCAAAACCCTAGACGGACATAGACGCTAGCACGCCGTTCGAGGTTGAGGGCTACTCGTGTGGATACCAGTAGAGGAAGCCGACCGGAGTTGTCGACTTCGAACGACAAAGGAGGCGAGCAGAAGCATCCTGAACGGCCGAATCATCGAGTCACCAGGAAATCGAACACCGAAGGTAATGCTTCTTACTACCTGACTTAAACGCGATCGGTAGATCCGGGCAAGGGATTGAAAGTTTTAAAATTGTAAGTTGATTTCCGCTGCGCGTCGTCTTTCAATTCCCTTCAAAAAGATGTGTTATACTCACAGAGGTGTTATGGCTTTTTCCTGAGTGTTCGATAATTTGCTGCATCATCTTACACTAACCAGTGTTATCGATGATTGATCACATGATTGATCAACACACAGAACTTGAATTATCTAACACATTATCGATTAAGTTCAATGTTAAGTGATTAAAACAGAACTAGCAGTTATCTGTCAACTGATCGATTAACTGGTGATCGATCACTTGATCAATCAACTTAACAATTTCGTAGAGAAACAGAAAAACTTAATTTGTTATCATCAAAACCTTTAATCTAACAATTGTTAATAGCATTGACAAAGAAAACTATGAATTGGGAATATGAGAGATAGTGATTTCATTTTATAATTACAATATAATACTCTAAGGTCTCTTGAAACTTGCTAATAAAATTGATATTTTGTGAGACTTTAGATGAATCAATTCTACTTCTTGGGACTTGTGTGTAATTTTCCTTAATATCTAATCACTCAGCTTGAGATTCAAACTTTGAAATTTTATATTAAGAGTGACCACCATTTCATATGTTTAGATCATTCCAATTTATGTACTCATCAATCAAACAAGTTATTTACTCACACTAGTGGTCATCTAACAGTGTTGTCATAGGTTGTGTGCGTCTATTTTACTTACCACTAGTTTCCCTGTAATAATGGAGTTATTGACAGTTAGGGCAGGGCATACATTTTTTGAACAAATACCGTGGGCCGAGAGTTTTTATTTTAACCGAAAATAATACCAAGTTGAAATTTTAATATATTAAGAGAGAGATATATATATATATATATATATATAAGTTATGATATATAGGACTATTAGTTGATAGTTGATTGTTGGTCTATGATGATAGGTTTTTTTTTTTTTTAACAGATCAATTTCTAGTTGAAATGGCAATGCCATTATCATCCTAAATTTGCATGATATCGTCACACGCATGTCAGTTGAAAAAAAAAAAAAGGAATGATTGTTCCGGTTATCGAATATTAGGGTGAAAATATTTTTAGGGCAAAAACACTACTTAACTTATATAATTTGATGTATGCTACATGGTTGCCACGTGGCCTACCAATAACACATACTTCGGCTCTGGGGGAAAAATTTGCCAAAGGTGAATATGGATATTGGGCCCACATATATACAGCATTCTTTAATATGGACCAGAGTCCAGACTTAACTATGTGAAATAAAATCAAATTTTAAAAAAATAATTATATACAAGTGCCTAAAAATCAAACCAAAAGATAAAAAAGAAAGAAAACAAGAATAGCAAAAATAAGGCATTAATCTCTGACTGAAGCAGGAGAACCTCTCATGCCTCCAAGAAACAAGGATCTCCACTCGTTATTTTCTGAGAGGTTAGTTTTCTTCGGTGGCTATTGCTCTCTCTCTTTCATTTTCCATCCTCATTTTCACATCCCTCTCTTTCCTTCTTTCCTCCTTTCCCTCATTCCATCATTGCAGGAGGCAATTCCTTCATCATTTCTTTAAAAAATGGTAAGCTTCAATTCCCATCCATTTCTGTATCTTCTTTTATCCCTTCATTAATTTTCTTCATTCTATATGCCAACTAGAGTATGAGTTCATATGTTTGCATGGAAACAGCGATAAGCCATAATATTCAAAGTTTGTGAAAAATGAGGCTCCATATACTCTGTCATATAATCCGCTATATATATGTGTACGTGTGTGTGTGTGTGTGTGTGTATAATACTTTTCTTAGGTGCTGTATGAATTGGATAGCTGCAAGAAGACAGTTTGTTAGTTAGCATTAGATAAGCTAATGTTTAAACATATCAGGATCCTCTCTACTCTCAAATATATAACCATTACACTAAGCTCTTTCCTAAAATGTATTTAATTACTATTGTTTTCCTCCTGGTTGGTGTAACTTTTGTCACATAATTCGCATATTCATTAAGGAATAATATGAAATACATTAAAATAGTGATAGATCCGTCTATCTAGAGAGCCAACTTTATAAGCAAAATCTACTGCTTTTGAAAAAGACAGAGAAACTGCATATATATGCTTCTTGTATGGCTATAGTGTGTGTGTGTGTGTGTGTGATGGGGCTAAGTTTGAAGATGTGAGGAACAGGCAAACGCTTCATCAGGAATGGCAGTAAGTGATGACTGCAAAATTAAGTTTCAAGAACTTAAAGCGAAAAGGAGCTATCGTTTTATTATCTTCAAAATAGAAGAACAACAAATTGTGGTTGAATCGGTGGGTGGCCCCAACGAAAGTTATGACGACTTCACTTCCAGTTTGCCCTCCAACGAGTGTCGTTATGCTGTCTATGACTTTGATTTCACTACTGATGAGAATTGCCAGAAAAGCAAGATCTTCTTTATTGCTTGGTACGTTTTACTACTTATTATTAGTGGTGATCTTATATATATATATATATATATATATATATATCTCCTTTAATAAAGAAATGCTCTTTTTTTTTTTTATTGTCCTAAACGTAGAAGCTAGCTGAGGGATTTTCCTAAGTTATCTCTCTATTTGATTGTATATATCAAACAGAGTAGGGATTAAATGGGATATTTTAGAGATACCAATACACTTATTTATTACAAATAACTAAATAAACTAATTTTCTTAACATATATAAATTAGATATCTAATTGCTATATTTAGAATTGAAGGGAATGGTTAAATAAATAGAGAAGATTGAAGATTGTGCATAGAGGCATGTAAAAAAAAAAAAGTACAGGCAGAGATTACTAGTGAGTTGGTTTTTTATGTTAATAGCATCTTTAATCCATAAAATTTGACCTTAGTTTAGTATTGGTTCTTGAAATTTGAAACCCAATTGATTCTGGTCCTAGAAATTTGACTTCATTTTGTTCTCCCTGAACATTTTTGATTTCTGGAACAATGTTTTTGGGTCTTTGAAACAAAGTTTTAAGGACCAAAATCATTGGTTTCAAATTTTAAGGACCAAAATTAAAATGAAGTCAAATTTTTGAGGACTAAAGATAATACTCTTTCGATCCTTAATATAAGACCTATTGAACTAATTTGATTAGTTTAAGAAAGTCAAGCGAGTTAGTTAATTATAAGATGGAACTAATTTCAAATTTTCTAAAATACCACAATCATCTTCCTGAGTATCATCCTTCCTTCTATTTCATTATAGTTGAGAAAGTATCAAAAAGAATAATTTTAGAAAAAAATTGATAAATATGAGAAATAAATCTTATATTTAGGACCAAGATTAACTCAATAATTAGGTCCTATATTAAGGACTAAAAGAGTATTAACGTTAGCTTTTTTTGGAGAACATACAAGCACCACCCCCCGGGGGGGTTTCCACTGAGGATTCAGCCCAAGGGGCTATGGTGGTTATATTTTACTTGTGATTATAATTAATATGATGTATACAATTATGATTAAGTAGGTCTCCTGATACGTCAAAAGTGAGGATGAAGATGGTTTATGCAAGTTCTAAGGACAGATTCAAGAGAGAGCTGGACGGGATTCAATTTGAACTGCAAGCCACTGATCCAAGCGAGATGAGTTTGGACATTGTGAAAGGCCGAGCTATCTGAATGCTACAATTAATTATAATTTTTTTTATTAATGTTTCATAATCATCTCTCTGTTAATGAAGGCCATGGGACTCAACTAATTAATTACTCATCCAAAGTGGCATGTACGATTTATCCCCTTCTTCGTTAATTCCATAATCAAAGTCTGAATCATTAGTTAATTGATTAATGTTTCAATTAGGTTGCTAGAGCCATTTGTCCATTCCATGGCAAGTTCTTTCCTGAGTTGAAGAAGAATCCACTTGATTCATTAAGGGCTTGTTTGGACTAATGTTTTTGCAAAACAGGTTTGCATCCCAACTACGTACAGGTTGCAAATTGAAATTAGAGTAAAGGTTAAATAGTATAATGTAATTTATATTTCTACTCCTCCGGCCCTAAATATAGGATCCACTTTGTAGTACAATTTACACTACAAAGTAAGTCTTATATTTATAATTAGAGGAGTATATGTTTTTGTCAAAAAGTCAATTTAAATACCCATTTGGCTTTTGAAGTTCTAGCCGAAAGCTCTAAAATTTGGGTTTACTTGACTTTTGAGCTTTTAAACTGGTTTTTGTATGACTTTTGAGACTACGAAAGCCAATCTAAATGAGCCCTAAGGTATTTTGTTCTCCAAAACAAGCTAAGCTGAGGACAATATGTGTAGGCCTTGAAAGCTTAATTACTATGTTTGCTGAGTATAACAGGGTAATCTTTATACTATATTTGTATATTACATTATAATTTTCCTTATGGCTCTTATTTGATCAAATACCTTATATCTCTTTAAAAGAACATAAAGACCTTATCTTTGTTAATTTCATTACAAGACAAGTTTCTTTTGTATTGTACGAAACTCGACTTATATTCTTTATTTATGAAAAATGCGACTTACTATAAAATGCAAAATTTTATATTGATAATCTAACATTTTCCTGGTAACTAAGGAATATGAAATATTACTCGTATCGCCTCACATTCCATTATTTTCATTTTTGGTTCTTACTCTATATTTATCAAATATCCAAAATAATTTATTAGTGCTTTAATTAGTTTTCCATTCCATGCCGTGGTCATTAGGACACAATCCTTTTTACCAAATGGTCTGATATTTGAAGCACAGCTCTATCTAGTTCTTAGGGCTCAAGAACCGACCCTATAATTATTTTTTTTTATTTTCAAGGAAACAATAGTATAATTAAAAGTTCATGAATAAATTCATAAAATCACAAGCGAAATTCATCCATAATTCATGCCAACACTAATTGAAGTGCATACCCAACATTCAAAAAGAAAAATCCAAAACATCCAAAAATTATTTTTGTGCTTTTTGAGACAAAAATATGACCCGCTTATCTTTTCAGTTTGACACTTGGTCCAACTTTTAAAATATTGGTTGTGATGAAAATTATTGCAGATAGGATGAGAAATTTCATGCCTCACATTATATCTCCAAACTAGTGCATTTTCGTGTTAGGACACCATAACTCTAATAACATTACTGGGGCCAGGAAGTAATCCACACCATGAACACCATGAGAAGAAAGAAGGGATTTATGGTTATCAAAATAGATTTTGAAAAAGCCTATAATAGGGTCAACTAGAACTTTCTCACTAGGTGCTTGAAAGAGCTAAGGCTACCTAGTAATTTTGTGTACCTAATTGAGTGTTGTTTGAGTATTGCAAGCTTGCAAATCTTAATTCCAACATTTCTAAAATTAATTCCACATGCTATTCTCTCACATGTAAAATCTATTTTTAAGCTCAAATTAGACAAATCCAACTCCTTCCTATCAAACATGCTTTGATCGAGGCATATATAGGGTTTAGGGCAAAACTCTATTTTCAATATTCTAACGCTTCCTGTAACATTCTAAATTTTGGGCCTAGAAGTATAAAAAATAATTTGAAATAGACAAGCTATAAGATCTTTTTTGGTAGATGTAACACCTTCCTTTTAGACCATATAACCACTCAAATAGAACCAATTGGAACCACTTCTCAAGGCCTCAAGCTAGAAAAATTCAACTTTAAAAAAAATCTTTAAATTTGGGTTACTATTCATGTAACCATAAAGTCAGGCCAAACTTTGAAAAATCATAACTAATTCTAAAAAAATTAAAATGAGGTGGTTCTAAATTCTACTTGAAACTCTCATAATGATATCCTGAAGAAAAATTCTCTTTGGTATCGAGCCCTTGCTAATCATTCCCAAAATTCACATAAAGAAACACTGTTCATTTGGTAAATTTTTAATTTTCTAAAATTTATGTCTTTTGGATAGGCATAACTTTTTGTACAAAAATCTAATTTTGATTAATTACCCCTTGTTTTAAAGCTAAAAATATGATCTATAGATCTGTCAAGTCTCAACTCAAAACTCATTCAATTGTTAGAATCTCGTTAGCATGAAAATTGGTCATTTTTAGGGTTATTTCATACCATTTTCATGCTTTTTCTTGATTATTCCCTTTCTTGGCATCGTATAATTACTCCATTCACATAAAACATGTTCAGCCACAATTATCAATCCTTTACAGTCATCAAGGTCATCAAACTTCATACAAAATTATTATAAACTTGCATAAATAAAAGTTCACATAAAATCATGAACATTATAACGTAGGCTCCTTCATCTTCTCCTTGGAACATCTAACTCCTAAGTTGTTAATTAGTTCAACATGAAAAGAGTGAGATTTCATAGAAATTCCACTAGCAAGAATCATAATAATCATGCTAAACATGCAATGCAAGAATGCCATATGTCACTAACTAAATCTCATCCATACTAACATGTTCTCATGCCATGGAAAGGAAGCAATTAAACGTACCATCAATCCACTCAACATTGCATAAAGCCAAGGCATATTATGCATGGAGTTAACACATCATTGTCCATCTAGCTCTACCACATCATGGCATAGAAAAATCAAGCAATATATAGCAAAACAAGCAAAGCAAGTTAGCATTCAAATTGCAAGTTCATTGCCACCTATTTATTATTCCAAGTGTTCGGCCTTTTCTACTCCTTGCTCCTCTTGATATGCTTGGACAATATGTCATATCCTGAATTTTAGGGCCTGGAAGTACCAGAATTATCCTGAAATGGGCAGATTACTAGACCATTTTTGGTAGAGGTTCCCTAAAAGGACAAAGGGATTCCCAGGGATTAAATCGTGAAGGAAAAGTTTCATGGGATTGAGAAAAGAGAAGGTTAGAGAGTTTAGTAAAGTCTCGAGGCCCAAGAATGAGAGATAGGGATGAATATAGACTAAAGGTTATGTTGGACGTCTCAATGAGGTGAATTATGGAGTTAAGCCGAACTAGGGGCAAAATCATAATTTTGTCAAGTGTCGAGCCGATAAGGGCAAAAATAGAAATTATGCCCAAAAATCTCAGAAAATGGAAAATGGCATGTTAAACCCTCTATGTGAAGTTTTGGGGTCCAGTATAAGAAGTTGAGGTAATTAAGGCCTAAAGGTTGTGCTAAGAACATCAGTAAAAGGATTCTTGAGGCTAAACCCGAGTAGGGACATAAAAAGTAAATTTGAAAAATTTCAGGTCGAAAGGGGGTAGTGATGGAAAGTTAGCTTGAATACTTCAGAAAAATTCTAGAAAAATATGAATAAGGTCCAGAGGCCCATATGAGACTAAAAATGACAAAAATGTCCCAGGAAGAAATTTATGGAATTCCCAGGGTTTCGGCTAATTTTGAATATTAGCATAAATTGAATTATTTAAAATATAGGGAGGCCTTAGACAATTGGACAAAAATGGACAAAATACTTGAGGAATTATCACAGGTTTTAAAAATAATTTTGTCCCCAGAAAGCGAAGAGGTTGGCTTTAATAGAATTTAAAACTTATTTATACACTATCTAAAAAAAGTCAAAGTAAAATATCTAGATGTTGACTTTTGACTTAAGAAAAAGTAGAGAAATTTCCCATGATGAATAAATAGTATTGGTACTTAGAGACAAATTCTCGGAGTCGTGGTCTAGTAGAAAGAATTTGGTGAAAGCTTACTCCGAAATAAATATTATTAATTGTTTTAATAAAAAATAAGGAAAGAGCATCACTTCCTCTTTAGGCATGTTATATAATGCCATATGGGCTTATTTGAGGTGACAAAAAGGTGCCAGAACATGCCCCAATAGGCCAAAGTAAGTTGTCACATCCTGAAAAATTCATCCTGACATTGTGAGTTAAAAATCTTGTTGTGGGCCAATATAGAGAGTAGATAGAAAAATGAAACAATTTTTGATATGGAACCCCGATAGGGTCCAGACTGATATTTTTAGAATTATCAGTCTAGAAAAGACAAAATGAAAAAATTTGAGAAAAAATTCTAAAAGATTCCCAAAAAATGGTAAAAAGGTAAATTAGAGGTTTTGGAACCTCAATGGAGGCCCTAAAGGTGAAAATGGTGTGAAAATAGCTTATTACAGAATTTCCTAAAGTAGAGATTTTTCAGTAAAAATAGTAAAAATTGAGTGAAAATAATTATTATAATTATTTAGCTGACTCAATAATTCCAATAAAATATGGAGTAATTATATAAATATTTGATTGAATTTATAAAATTGATTTTAGTCCTTGAAAGTATAGGAATTAATTTTAGAAAATTTATTTCCAAAAGTCTTACCGATAAAGCCTTATTTAGAAGAAATTCAAAATAAATAGTTAGAGATGGAGAAAAATCCTAAAATTTGTAAGAATGCATTATTATATTAAAATAATATTTTCCATGAAGAAAAAAAATGTGATTTTGGTTGCATAGAATAATTATGAAAAGTTACAAGTAAATAGTAACCGATAAGCTTCAATATTGCTTGGAATTAATATTTTATTGTTGGGTCATCTTCTTGGGACTTTCTAGATCAGATTGGGCTTTCATTTGGGCCAAGAAAAGCCCAAAAATTCATGCAAAATCATGGCCTATCATTTAAATGGAATTAGGCCAAAATTAACCCTAAAAATCTATGGAATATTCTTGAAGAATTACACATGGCATGACC